ACAGACAGTGTTGCCACTTTGGATCTTTTACATCAAATTTAGATATTTTTCAATGCAATTAGATCCTGTTTTTGACGTTTAGATGGTAAATATTTTTCTAGAAACTTTTCATATGGAGATAGATATTTTATAGATTTTTTTTTCTTTCAGCGTCAATTTAATAATTACTGTGTAAAATATTTACTACAATATTTTTGTTTTAGTCTGGCATGTACATTGTGACAACTGCCATTACTTAAACTTTGAACTCTCACTAGGGTCAACACTCAAATATCTGACAGCCCCAGTGCTGATTAATCGAAAGCGCACGTAAATCATACTGACTTTGTTTCAACCGTATCCTCACTGTGTTGTGAATGATAGTTGTGATGCTGACTTTGTGTTTCTTTTTCATGTGATTAAAAAAAAAAATGCTCACCTTTATTTGTGGCTTTCACTTTAAAAACCCTTTCAACATGCCAAAAGTAAAGTATGAGCAAAAATTTCGAAAAGAGTGGTTGCATGATGACAAAATTAAAGACTGGGTGATGGCAGTTCCTGGGGATATAACTAAGGCTCGTTGTAAGTATTGCAAGTGTGAAATTAAAGCGAAAATACAAGACTTAAAGAAGCATGCAGAGACTAAAAAGCATAAAATTGCAGTTCCATTCAAAGATATTACACCGCTGACCTCGGTTTTCTGAACTACACTGATAAATGAATCATTAAAAGTTGAAGGATCGGTCGCAATGTTTTTAAGTTGCCATTGTGCAATTTAAAACTGTGACCATTTGATTGATTTGTTTAAAAACACTATTTCTGACAGTAAAGTTATGGATGATGTGAAAATGCATCGCAGCAAATTTACACATATTATAAGAAATATTTATTTTCTCACTTCGAAAAAGATTTGATCAGTGATATTTATACAAATAAATATAGTTTTTTATCAGACGAATCAAATGATATTTCGGTACTGAAAGTGCTTGGTGTGTGTATTATATATTACAGCAGCAATACAGACAAAGTAGTTACTACATATCTTGGACTAGTTCAATTGGAAAACTGTGATTCAGGAAGTATAGTTCAGGAACTGAAGAAACTTTTAATCAGCAAACAGTTAGATTGACAAATTTGGTTGCAATTGGTACCGATAATGCCTCAGTGATGGTTGGCATAAACAATGGTGTTTATGCCAATTTGAAGGAATCTATCCCATCGTTAATACTTATAAAATGTATGTGTCATTCATTGCAGCTAGCATTATCACATGCTTCATCTGAATGTTTACCAAGGAATTTTGAATACCTTATTGCTGGAACACATAACTGGTTTTCCAAATCATTTGTCAGACAACAGAAATACAATGCATTGTATTCAGTCTTAAACAATCGTTCCACACCACTGAAAATTCTGTCTGATTGCAAAACCAGATGGTTATCAATACAACCGGCTGTTGAAAGAATTGGGAACCAATGGTTGGAGTTAAAGACACACTTTGAAATAACAAGACAAAGTGAAAAGTGCTACACAGCTGAGATACTATATGGAATGTACAGTGATGAAAAAAATGTGGCATTCCTTCACTTTTTACAACCTATTCTAATGGAAGTGCAAAAAGTTAATAAACTGTTCGAATCTAAACATGTTGATAAAGTTAAATTACTTGACGATCTCATTTTGCTATTTTACTCAGTTGGTAAAAGACTGGTGTTGCCAACTTCAAAAGCTGATTTGCTCACTCGCACTATAGAGAGCTATTTGGCTCCTAAGCCATACCTTGGATATCAAATTGAATCAAAAATTGATGATTTAAAAACAAAACGACTGTTAACAGAGAATGAAGAGAACAGCTTACGAAAACGCTGTCAAGATTTCCTTATCTCATTGTTCAAGCAACTAAAGCAGGGACTTCATGAAAATCTAGATGCATTGAAACATATTTCACTCTTTTCTGTGAGCAACATACTTCAGCCAATAAAGGACATTCCTAAATATTGTAAAGTTATGAAATTTTTAGGGGCTACTGACAATAATGTCGCGGAAGCAGAATATCAGTTAACCAAAATAAACTTAGTTGAATGGTCAAACAAAACAGAAACTGAAGCGTTTTGGAGTGAAGTGAGACAATTTAAAGATGCCTCATCAAACAGTCCATTCTGTAAGCTCTTTGAATGTGCCATGTCTGCCATGATACTACCCCACTCAAAAGCTGACGTAGAAAGAGTTTTCAGTGCTATGAATTATATCAAATCTAACCTAAGAAACAGGATGAAATTAGACCTCTTAAATGCTATCATGACAATAAAGTTTGGCCTGATGAGAGTAGGAAAATGCTGTTCCACTTATCAGCTCCCTGATTGTGTATTAAAAGAAATTGGAACAGCTAAAGCATAACAGAGTAATTTTGGATCTGAAGCTTCAACTTCATCATCCAAGCTAAGTTTATCCTGTGGATCTTGTGAAGCAGACATCAGTGAAGATGAGGACATGTGTCTATAGGGTAAGCCATTTCAATAGTTTTGTAATTTGTGACTCTTTTCATTTGGATATTTTTTCTAAATGTTTCCCACGCAAATTTAGATTATTTTAGATTTTTTGACCCCTTTTTGGATTTTTTTGGTCAAAGAAAAGTGGCAACCAGTGTTGCCACTTTGGATCTTTTATATCCAAATTTAGATCTTGTTCATTACATTTAGATACTGTTTTTGACGTTTAGATCCTAAATATTTTTCTAGATTCTTTTCATATGGAGTTAGATATTTTATAGATTTTTTTTTCTTTCATTGTCAATTTAATAATTACTGTGTAAAATATTTACTACAATATTTTTGTTTTGGTCTGGCACGTACATTGTGACAACTGCCATTACTTGAACTTTGAACTCTCACTGGAGTCAACGCACAAATATCTGGCAGCCCAGGTACTGATTAATAAAAACGCGCGTAAATCATACTAACGTTGTTTCAACCGTATCCTCACTGTGCTGACTTTGTGTTTCTTTTTCATGTGTTTAAAAAAAATAATTGCTCACCTTCTTATGTGGCTTTCACTTTGAAAAACCTTTCAACATGCCAAAAGTAAAGTATGAGCAAAGAATTTGGAAAGAGTGGGTGCATGATGACAAAATTAAAAACCGGGGATATGACCAAAGCTTGTTGTAAGTTCTGTAAGTGTGAAATTAAAGCGAAAATACAAAACTCAAAGAGTCATGCAGAGACTAAAAAAGCATAAAACTGCAGTTTCATTTAAAGATATTACACCGATGACATCTGTTTTCAGAACTATACTGTTACATGAATAATCAAAAGTTGAAGTATCAGTCGCAATGTTTTTAATTTGTCACTGCGCAATTTCAAACTGTGACCATTTGATCGATTTGTAAAAAATCTTGGACTAGTTCAATTTGAAAAGTGTGGTGTAGAAAGCATAGTTTATGAACTGAAGGACCTTTTAATCAGCAAACAGTTAGGCTTGAAAAATTTGGCTGTAATTGGTACTGATAATGTCTCAGTGATGGTTGGTATAAACAATGGCGTTTATGCCAAGTTGAAGGAAGCTAACCCATCAATACTTATAAAATGTATGCGTCATTTATTGCAGCTAGCTTTATCACATGCTTCATCTAAATATTTACCAAGGTATTTGGAATACCTTTTTGCTGAAACACTCTACTGGTTTTCCAAATCATTTGTCAGACAACAGCAATTAAATACATTAAATACAGCCTTGAATGATGGTTCCACACCACCGAAAATTCTGTCAGATTGGAAAACTAGATGGTTATCAATTTAACCAGCTGTTGAAAGAATTATGAAGCAATGGCTGAAGTTGAAGACACACTTTGGAATAACAAGACAAAGTGAAAAGTGCTACACAGCTGAAATACTATATGGAATGTACAGTGATAAAAAAAAATTGTCATTCATTCTCTTTTTAAAACCTATTCTAATGGACGTGCAAAAAGTTAATAAACTGTTCGAATCTAACCTTGTTGATAAAGTTAAATTACTTGATGATCTCACCTTGCTATTTCACTCGGTAAAAGACTGGTGTTGCCAACTTCTAAAGCTGATTTGCTCACTTGCACTATAGAGAGCTATTTGGCTCCTAAGCCACACCTTGGATATTAAATCGAATCAAAAATTGATGATTTAAAAACAAAAGGACTGTTAACAGAGAATGAAGAGAACAACTTAAGAGAGCACTGTCAAGATTTCCTTATCTCATTATTGAAGCAATTGAAGCAGAGACTTCTTGAAAATCTAGATGTTTTGAAAAATATTTCACTTTTTTCTGTGAGCAACATACTTCAGCCAATAAAGGACATACCTAAATATTGTAAAGTTATGAAATTTTTAGGGGCTACTGATAATAGTGTCGCGGAAGCAGAATATCAGTTAACCAAAATAAAGTTAGCTGAATGGACAAACAAAACAGAAACTAAAGCGTTTTGGAGTGAAGTGAGACAATTTAAAGATGCCTCAACAAGTCCATTCTGTAAGCTCTTTAAAGTGCCATGTCTACCATGATACTACCCCACTCAAATGCTGACGTAGAAAGAGTTTTCAGTGCTAGGAATTATAACAAATATAACCTGAAAAACAGGATGAAATTTGACCTCTTAAATGCTATCATGCCATTAAAATTCGGCCTGATGAGACTAGAGAAATAAGCCTACTGTTCCACTTATAAAGAAATTTGAACAGCTAAAGCATACCAGGGTCATTTTGGACCTGAAGCTTCAACTTCATTATCCAAGCTAAGTTTATCCTGTGGATCTTGTGAGGCAGACATCAGTGAAGGTGAGGACATAATTATGTAGGGTAAGTCATAACAAAAGCTATGTAATTTTTGACTTTTTCAATTTGGATGTTTTGTCTAGATCTTTTTCACGCAGATTTAGATCTTTTTAGATATTTTTTGACACCGTTTTGGATATTTTTTGTCAAAGAAAAGTGGCAACACTGGTGGCAACACTGGCACAGAAAAACTGGCCGGTGGCAAGAAGGACACGACCAATGGCGGGCCTCAGGCAAACCCCACTGACTTGTAGTGGTCATACTCGACCAGTTGTTGATTTGTCTTTTAGTAATGTGACACCGTTTGGCTATTTTTTGATTAGTGCTTGCAAAGGTAATTAGGAAGTCATAATTATGTTTCATGTTAAAATTAAAAGCCTTTTATTATTTTACATTTACTCTAGTCTAACTACTACTAGTAACTACGTCGCCACTCTGTCGTTCCTCATCAGCCTCAAGTCACAACTAAAAGTTGGAAATGAATTTATGATGATGCAAGTAAGGTACACGATTTTAACTCTTTCTGTCGCAGAAAGCTGTTAAAACTGAGCATTGGAAACTGAAACAACATTGGGCTCTCCTACGAACTTACTTCTACCCCCTCATTATGGCGGCAACATTGAGTTCATCGACAGTTGAAATGAAAATGTGGCTCTCCTTCGAACTTCGTCCCCTAACAGGGCCTCAGTTATTTGCAAATTGCGGAGTTCCTGCCGAGGAAGAAATTGCGGCAAAACAAGGATTACTTCACAATTTCAAGACACACAACACTGTAGAAGATAGTAGCAGACGATAATAGCGACCCTTGACAATTTCAAGACACAACATTACAGACGATAATAGCGACATGGCGGGGAGACCATGCGCTCAACCGCAGATTAGCAACAGTGTTCTTCAGATTTTCAGGCACTTTTTGCAACTTCTGTGTCACAACTTTCACATATAATAACGTTAATTATCGGTAAGTAATTCTCTTCATTGTTGTTCTCACACTTTTTGGCATACGCAAAACGCGGTTAAACACCGCTGACGGTATCCCCATGTGCCGCTACATGCGGCGCAGATGGGGATTTGCACTAGATGCCTGGGACTCACGAGCAAATAAATTGGAGGAAGTTGCAGGAGATGCGGTAGCTGCTGCTCGTGAGTCCTAGCCATCTAGTTTAACCCTCCATCCGTGCTGCGCCTAGCAGCGCGGGGATACTGTCGGAGGTGCGGCACAGTCGCAGAAACAGGTCCGGAATGAACATATCGCTGAGACCCTGTTAGAGCATTTCTTTGCCCTCGATAATATTGGCCCGTCATTCGGAGGCGATCCTAGTTTTGCTGGGATTTGTTCCTCGGCAGACACTCCGCATTTTAGACATGACTAAGGCCCTGTTAGGGTATTTGTTTCACTGCTATAATATGGAGACGAAGTTAGAAGGAGAGCCAAAAATGTTATTAAAATAACATAACAAACATAAAATAACAGGCAGCAGTAACTAAGATCCGAGTAATTGAAGTGTGATGAATACAACATACATGATTTCAACTGTTGACAGTGACACTCACAGTAACTAAGCTACCTACAGTAATAATAGTCCTATTAACTCTTTTGAGTTCCAGGGGGGTTTTGCATCAGAGGCCCAAAAGGGGAGGGGGGGGGGGTAATATGATTTTGACTTTTAACAACTGCAGCTGATGGGCAACATACACATATCATACATGAAAATAAACATAAAGGGATAATGATTAATATTAGCATACTGCTACAACAAACAATTCTCCTGTTAGTTAATATTTAGTAAAGAAAACAGTGACCTAATTTGAGAGGTTAGTAAATTATGAACCAAGTTTTTTCCACTTACCCAAAAGCTTATCCCAAAATTCTTGATATAGTATATCTAAAATGCATCACAAAGGAAGGTACACCACTAATAAGTATGCACAGCCAATATTAATGCAAAATGGCGTGGGCGATCATGCCTCTCCATAATCTGCGATCTCCTGCAGCATGTATCAGTTCGTGTGCCGACACACCTCCATGCCATGCAACAAGACTGTCAAGCATCTTCTCTCGCTGTCTTCCTCTATCTCTCCTTCCACATATCTTTCCAGTGGTCACAACATGTTCTATTTTCCCTCTTCTCATAACGTGGCCGAAAAATGTTGACTGTCTCCTTCTGATGTCTGTGATAAGTTGTCTTCGGGCTCCCGCCTATTTCAAAACCTTGGTTGCTCTTTTTGGCTGTCCAAGGTATTCTAAGCATTCTTCTTTAAAACCACATCTCCGAGGCCTCCATAAATTGTTTGGCCTGCCTACCGATTGTCCAGGATTTACAGCCATATGTTAAAACTGGATGTATGTAGCAAGCAAGAATTCTTTTTCTAACTCTCAATGACAAGGATATATTGCACAAGATGTTTTTCATTTTATAAAATGCAGTTTTTGCCTGTCCTATTCTATTTCTTTTCTCAGTTATGCATCTTCCATCTGATGTTATCCATGTGCTCAGATACTTAAATTTCTGAACTTGTCCTAAAATAACACCATCAACTTTTATTACACATTTTGGAATAATTCCTTTCTTTGATACCACCAATACTTCTGTCTTCCCATTATTCAAACTGAGGCCCATTCTTCCACTTTCTAACACCACAATGTCTATCATTTCCTGTAATTCTTTCTGACTTGTTGCTATCAAGACTGTGTCATCAGCATAACGTAAATTGTTTATATTGTGCCCACCAACCACAATTCCGGGCATACCAATTAAAGCTCTCATTATATATTCACTGTATATTGAAAACAAATCAGGCGACAGTACACATCCTTGTCGTACGCTCCTCTTTATGCTTTGAAATGTACCTAAACAGTTGTTAATTCTAATAGCTGCTGTTTGCTGCCAATACATAATCTTTATTATTCGTAGATCTTTCCCATCAATGTTTAATTTTTCCAACAGTTTGATTACTTCTTCATGCTTCACACAGTCAAATGCTTTTGTATAATCTATGAAGCATATGTACAAATCAGTCTTTACTTCTATAGCTCTTTCTTCTACCATAACACAGCAAAATATATTCTCCAGTGTTCTGTCACACCAGCTGGACATGGAGGCTTGAAAATAAACCCTGATTGTGTCCTTCCCTCAGTAACACCTCTCCACTGACAACGACTATCATTCTGGAGTGTACTACTAGTAATACTAGTACTAGAAGTGCTGACATTTGGACTAGCTAGTGTCACGCTACGGGGTGCTTCAGCACTACTATCCTCTTGTGTTGCTATGGCAGAATTAGTCAGTGTTGTCTTCTTAGCAGGAGGTAAATTACGCACATGTTCCTAATCAGAACTTGACCCGTCAACCGGTTGGGAAAATTCCAGGTCGCTACTATCATTATCCAACTCCACATCACTTTGATCAGTTCACTGTTTTATGAAATTTGATGCTTCTAAAGCAGTGAATCGCTTTGTTGGGCGCGAAGTCGAAGACTGATCGGGCATATTGTTTTCAGACAATTGTTTAGCAACGTAGTAGACCACACAAATATAGATTTATAGCATTAAAAACTCACCAGACCCAAACGAATGCACTCCACGTGTGTTCACTACACACTTGAGAACCGGCAAGGAAGTTTAAATTGAGCGATTCGCGTGTAATTACCGATAAGTGGTAAATTAAAAACCTTTACTTGTTACGCGTTGATTGGGCCGCCAGGTAGTAACTAATTAGCGCGTGATGTGTTTCTTGGGACTCGGAGAGTTAATGTAATATGCAGTAAAATTAGAAGTTGAAACTTGTCAATGGTTGAAAGGGTTGGGGCGATAAACATATAAACAAAATATATTCTGATTTCAGAACAAATTTAACAGCTGTATGAACATTTTTGTAATAAACAGATGGTAAACCTATGCTACGTCAAGGGGACACAGGGGACTGGATTGGCACTTTTGAAGGTCACAAAGGGGCTGTCTGGGGTGCAACACTTAACAACGAGGCTACACGTGCTGCAACAGGAGCTGCTGACTTCACTGCGTGAGTAAACGTTTATTTGTTTAGGCTGAGAGATTTGACAAACTTGTGACATAACCTTGTCAATGAGTCCCTAATTCTTCCTTCTTGGATGACCGTGCATTTAGTTATTTAGGTGTGAAGTAGATGTATGAGAGTAAGAATGTGAAGTTAATAAATGTTGTATTGTTTTGGAGTCTCACAGACTACACCCTTGCCTGGTGTGGGTTACAAAATTTGATGAAAGTCATGGCACCAAGATTAAAAACAGCTATTTCTGACAGATTTTAAGGTCAGAGCATGAATATGGCAATGATAAAAGTGAAATTGACTTCATTTTCTGGGAAATCTAAAGAAACAAAAATTCATATACAATATAGTAGGTTTATATTATATGTACAAACTGATGTCTCCCCTCCCATTGTCACAGAACAGCAGAAAATGTGTTGATTCTAAACAACAAAAAAGATGCCATATGTTGTGTTCATCATCAGTTGTTTTGACGGTGGATGAGCAAGTAACAAATAAAAAAGTCTAGAGCACTATGTTAGACACATGATACATACCGGTCAAAGATGTTTCTGTTTCCTCTGTCAGCTTTCCTGTAGCTGCTGAAGATCATCTCTGACGAGTTAGTTGGTTAATTGGTTGGGAAATGATCATTGAACTCCAGACATGTCCATAGGTGCTCAAATGCTTCCCTCAGTATGAACCCCAGCGTCCTGTGACTAATAGTGCCAGTTCTTTGTTGATTGATAAATCTTTTTGAATGCCCGGTATGTCTCTCGCTTTGGCTATGACGATCTTTACTTCTGAGTTTTTCATTCTGGTAAGCGAATCGCAGTCTCTGACGAGTGTTCATCTGTAATCAGCCAGCATGGAAGTGGTCCAGTTTCCTTGGTGTCATTTCTCCCAACTGTAGACCTATCAACAGAGCTACAACCTTTAAACCACAACAGGAATGCCAGTGATACTTGTTGTACTTAATACAGGGCTACCTGTTTTAGGTTATCACATGTTTCTTGTTCTTTTCTGTCTTGCACATGTCACTTGCACGCAAATATAACAACAGTTATCTGCACTGTTAATGCACTTTTGGGCCATCCCTTCTGCTGGATTTAAATTATAGACAGAAGTTGCTCGTTCATGCTCTGAGTTTGCTTGTTATGAATGATTGCATCATTTTTGTTTAACAATACTCCCCTCAGTTGGTATGTATGTTGGATGATGCAATTTATGGGATCTATTGCCTTTTGATGTTGAAAATATGGAATTTTCAAATGTGCACTTTCTACTGTATGCAGTCTGAGTAGGGGGAAACTACTGATATATACGATCATCTCTGAATTGTGGAAACTAGAGCCATTCTTGGTGTTTGAGTTTGGTGTTCACTTCCCCAAAATGAGTCAAGATTGATGGTATTCATGCCAGTGCTGGTATTGTATTGTCCAGTGTGACCTGAAGGTCTTGGGTTCAGTTATGCATTGAAACTGATTGTTACAATTGACCTAGTCTATCCTGGTTGACCCAACCCACAGTGGTCACAGAAAACTATCCTGACACGTAAAGGCAGCTGTCTTCATGCTGACCCCTTCACTGTTGAGTGCACATTAGTCTCTACACAATGGGTCTTACACCCTACACCCAGTGCACCTGCTGTGTCAGAAGGGTTCTTTACATTATTATGGCATTACAGACATGATCTTTAAAATAAATTGTCAATTTCTGTAAGTACAAGTGCAAACCTTTTTACAGCTGAACATTTTGAATATTTGTAGAGATAGCCAAACCATGTGTGGCATTTAATGTATCAAATCTGCAATGTTTGTCATTCACTGAAAGGAAAATTGCCACGATTGCACATTTGTATTGTCTCAGCTTTACCCATCTTTATACTGGTCTGGGTTGTTTGCAAGTTATTTGTCTGAAATAATATTAATTATTCAGAAACTCTTGGTGGTTTGGGAAGTGGTTTGTGTTTGAAACCCTGAATGTATTAAATAAATTTATCGTATCTTTTGTTGATGGGTGATGTTAACCAAATGTCTTAATGATATCATCAGGAAAGTTTGGGATGCAGAAAAAGGAGAAGAGCTTCATAGCTTTTCACATAAGCATATTGTGAAGAGTGTGAATTTTTCCAATGACAGTCATTATCTTCTGACTGGTAGTAATGAGAAGCTACTCAGAATTTTTGATCTACAGAAACCAGATGCAGGTGTGTATTGTTACTGAGAGAGAATGTGCAGTTATTTGGCAGTGTGAAGACACCATAGTTTTGAGTCATGGATCATATATTTGTCATATTTTTCTGTCTCCTTCATTTCTTAGCTTTGGTGGTATAAGAACTTGTTATTTAATTAAATGTTGTTTATCTAAGAGACTTCATCAAAGTGCAGTGATAGAAATGCAGTAAGAGGGAAGAAAGTCATTAACAGAAGATTTAAAGGTAACTGATGAATAACAAGATAAATATTGTGAGGGCCCTTTGGGAACAGGTAAACAGTGCGTGAGGCGCAGATAGATCATTATAGTCTGAGGAGAATGGCGCTACGAGAAGTTACCAGGGGATTTAATCGATGCTCAACACTCAGGGCAAGGATGAGACAGATATTCAATCAGACGTTTACTGGTACCAGTGGAATTGGAACTCTTCACTTGCTGCTGAAGATAAGGACTGAGCACTTATAGGAGTGTCTGAGTGCTGTGATGTTGATTCCTTATTCAACATTGAACATTAAAGATAACAGTTACTCAGATAGCTAGTGCAGTAAATCTGAGAGAATGCATGGTTACTGTAAATTTACCCTAGAACATGAGAAAAGGGTACAGTTTTAACCCTGTTGAAACCAGACTGAAGCAGGCAAGTGTGAATTGTTGTCGTCAGTTGTTTAGAAAAGTGCCCAAAACATTGTGATGGCTACGATGAAGGTAAATGAGACTTGGGTTCACTATTAGGACAGTCAAAATAAAAAGTCCAGGGTGAAATGGAAATCCTCAGGCTGCCCAACCCCTGTTGAGCTGAGAGTACACGCCAGGGCTCATAGCCAAACCCCTGTTGAGCTGAGAGTACACGCCAGGGCTATTAGCCCAACCCCTGTTGAGCTGAGAGTACACATCAGGGCTCATAGCCCAACCCCTGTTGAGCTGAGAGTACACGCCAGGGCTCATAGCCCAACCCCTGTTGAGCTGAGAGTACACGCCAGGGCTCATAGCCCAACCCCTGTTGAGCTGAGAGTACACGTCAGGGCTCATAGCCCAACCCCTGTTGAGCTGAGAGTACACGCCAGGGTTCATAGCCCAACCCCTGTTGAGCTGAGAGTACACGCCAGGGTTCATAGCCCAACCCCTGTTGAGCTGAGAGTACACGCCAGGGTTCCTAGCCCAACCCCTGTTGAGCTGAGAGTACACGTCAGGGTTCATAGCGGGCCTTTCAACCAGGAAATACAAGATCTCTCTCAAGGTCTAGACAAAAGTCAGCATTTTTTATGAAAACTGACGAAAATCCAGGACCTTTACCCACCAGTCCTGGAACTTTGCACACCATATCCAGGCCACAGATAACAAAAGGAGAATTTCCTGTGATTTTCGGCAATGGGGCTTTTTTGAGGTTACAGTTTTTGTAGTTACACCACTTGTTAAAAATCGCCGGTAAACGTTCACGATCTTATTTTTTGCTTTGCGGGTGGGGTATGAAGGATGCGAAAGCTAGCTATCTTTGCCCAATTTGTTTGTCCTCGTCCCCCTTGCCTCCCTTCAGTTGGTGTAGCAGGGTAAGCTGGTACGTGATGCAGAACATACCCCCTACCTCAACATTCATAGGCATTCAGTATATGTTTTATTTCAAAAACACATTTGTCCCCACCCCCCCCCCCCCCCCCCCCCCCCCCCCCCCCCCCCCCCCCCCCCCCCCCATCTCCCATCAATCACAGTTATGATACCCAGGGTGGCCAGCATCCCTGCTACCTTCTTCCCCCTGTATCTGTCCTCTTTCTTTCTCCTTACTTTTCTTTCTTCCCCTTTCTCAGTGCCGACTTTCCTTTTTCCTAGTTTCTCCCCCCCCCCCCCTTTTCTCTCTCCTCTCTCCTCTCTGCCCCCCCCCCCTTTTTTTTTTCTGTAATGGTGCAATCAGAAATCAATAGTCCACTGGTAGATGACTTATTTTCAAGGCAGGATGTCCTATGTTTATTCTGTAATTGATTGTCACCACTGGTGTGCTGATGGGAGCCATGTTGGTGTAGCGACTAGATGCTCAACTGTGGATCGGAAGGTCATGGTCTGACAAGCTAGGCTTTTTTTCAGAAATGACCTTGGCTTCTAGGTCAACACAGCCATGAGTGTAAGGAATGGAACAAACAATTGCAGCCAAGCATGGGACGAGAGCGGGTCAGCGTGGTTTTTTTCTGGACCATTATTTTCAAAGGGTCACAAATTGGGCACGCTGGCCCGTCTTACATTCAGCACTTCCAAACAACTGTCTTTCGCATAGCAGTTGTATTTTTTAGAGCTGGGAAAGGTAACGTCAATTAGATTTCCCAGTTCTATTTTTGGCACAGCTTATTCTACAAACTGTTTGGCTCTCAGTGTTCTCTCCCTCCTATATCTTCCTTCTTTTCTCTCGCCCCCATTTTCTTGAATCTTGCACTCTCCTACCTCTCTCTTAACCTTTCTGTCTCCCTCCTTCCTCTTACCTCTTCCCTTTCCTCTCTATTCTTACTCTGGTCTCTCGCTATCTCTCCTGCCCCATTCTCTTCTTCCTGACTCCTCTCCATCCTGTCTCTCTCTCCTCTAGTCTTCATCTCCTTGGCTTCTCTCTGTCTAGTAGCTGTGTCTGGTGCACAAGAAATTGTTTTATGGTTAGGGGGAGGGAGTGGGGTTTCAGCATCAGGCTGGTGTGTTTTTTTTCTTATCTTTTGAAATGAGTTTTTTTTTCTATAGGTTTTATTTGCCAGCACCCCTGACATTTGACCTCTCTGTTACTGCCTTCCTCTTTTTGTGTCTACCTCCCTCTCTTCTCATTCTCTGCCTTTCTCTCTCTCTGTTTCACTCTCTCTGCCTCTATGTCCCCCTTTTGTCTCCCTCTTTTTTGTCTACATCTCTCTGCTCACATCTCCTTCTCAGCATGTCCCTTCTCTCTCCCTCCCTCACTTTGTAATATTTTTTTTTCTCCTTTCCTCTGTCTCTCCCTTCTTCCCCCTCTCCTCATCTGTCCATCTCTACCTACCTGTCCCTTCTTCCCCTCTTGTCTCCCTCTCTGTCTTTCACACACTCTCCCACTCTACCTCAGCATCTGTCACCTCCTCCTCTGTATGACTCTTTCTCCCCTCTTGTCTCCCTCTCTGTCTTTCACACACTCTCCCACTCTACGTCAGCATCTGTCACCTCCTCCTCTGTATGACTCTTTCTCCCCTCTTGTCTCCCTCTCTGTCTTTCACACACTCTCCCACTCTACCTCAGCATCTGTCACCTCCTCCTCTGTATGACTCTTTTCTCCCCTCTTTCAGGTACCAGATCTAGAACAGACATGACTTCTCTTCTGCCACCATCTCTAGAAAGAAAAATAAAAAATCACTATAAATGTGCTGGTATACTGACATGTGTGCGCACAAATAAAGTACTGGGTGCTCGTTACACCCTTGATCAGGACCAAAACACCTTGCCAGTATTATCGCCACACAACCTTGAAAAAACTAAGAATACCTTGAAATTGATTGGTAAATATGGCTGCCAACTCTGACAAGTCTGCAGCAAAGGTAAACTAATTGTTAAGTTGCCAAAGGTCCGGCCCTATGGTAAGGATGTATGTCTCCTGTGCAGATTTAATTTATTTTTTTTTAAAAAGGCTGCAGCCAGAAGAGAAAGAAAACAGATAATCAAAATCTCTCTGTTTTTTTTTTTTTTAAATTTAATTTTTACTGTTGCTATTTATTTGTGTAAACATTTCTTGCTTATTGTTGTTTTGTCTGTAGATGAATGAATAATTATGTGGAAATATATACAAATAACAGTATCATATTCTCATGGTCATTTAGAGCCAAAGGTGTTTGCTGGCCACACATCAAACATTAAAGCTGTTCATTTCAACAAGGAGTGTAATCAAGTTATCAGTGCTGCTGATGATAAAACTGTCAGGTATGCATGTGAAAGTTAATTGAAAAAAAAAATCTAAGGTTATTTTGAAATAGTAATTCACTTTGTATCATTTGGAATGCTTATCTAGTTACAATCCTGTATTCTTGTGGAGTAGCTCTTGACTTTTACAAGAATCAAACTCTTTTAATTTGCATGATGATTTCTTCTTCTAGCCTTTATACCCATTTGGAGCATAGACCGTCAGCCAACTGATGCCAAGTCATCCTATCCCTTTTCTTCTTCTTCTCGTGTTCACTTTCTGATTGACACTGACAGACAAGTTCTTGTGATAAAAATGACTGTTTATAGGATTTCCCTTTTAGTTCCATACAGCACTGTTTATAGGATTTCCCTTTTAGTTCCATACAGCTTTGAGTGCAGTGTTGAGTCATTGGGCCAGTATTTCCTTCTTAATGGGCTGTACAAGAGTCACTCTTGCAGGACATGTTCTGTAGTCTGCACATACAGCCCACATGGGCACAAAGGTGAACTACTTAGACGTAGCTTGTGCATTTGCTTGTTAAGTTTTTTTAATGTCCTGTCCAGAGGCGCAGAATAATGACCTGCCCATGCCAGTCACATTAAGTGGTAGTCATCTCTGGCCAGACTCTTATAGACTGGACGGCCCTTTTCCTCTCATAATACGTTACTGCATTCTCTTCCTGGTCACATTCTGCCCCTTTCTTAGCAAGTTTATCTGCACATTGTTTCCTGGTATACCACAGTGGGATGGCACCCACTGGAGTACAGTACACTTTTGGGCAGCCACCTTGCCAAGTTCAGATCTCAAGTGATGGAGTTTGCCACTCTTGAGGGCTTGAAGCACCGATAGCACATCTGGGAATATGACCACTTGGTGGCAGTCTGAACTGGTGTATTGAAACATTTCGGCAGCCTGCTCTAGTGCTAGGATCTCTGCGGTATAGTTGGAACAGAATTTACCAGTAGGTATATACTTTGTGTGATGGTGGTTGTCTGGTTATGTGATAAAGACTCCAGCACCCCCATTTTTAACAGCACTGGTTGCTGATCCATCTGTGTAAGCATGTATTCACGACTGTTCAGGATAGTTTTCCTGAATCATGCTAAGAGCAGCTGTTCGTTTTTGAAGGTCATTGAGCTCATCTCCAGTTGTGAATCCACTGACTGAAGTCATTATCTGTATTGTATCACTGACTTGCTCCCAAGGTACATGGTATAGGGTAGGTTTCAGTAGTGTTGTTCTCATGGGTAAGATCTGCTTGATACTGTCTTCTAAGTCTTTTCCCTCAATGGACAAAGCTGCTATGTTTGAGACGCCCCAATGCCAGATCATCTAATCTTGCATTTATTGAATGTGACTGCATACTATTAAACTTCTCCATCTGGGTCATAGTTTTAGTGTTTCTTCTGTAGGACAATGTCTGCACTGCAGTTATTTTTTTGTGTGCATCTCCAGGATCGGTGCAGTCCTCATGGATCCTGAGATGAGTCTGAGGGCTTGATTTTGCACCCTGTCTAACGATTGTAGATAGGAATTAGCAGCTGTTGCACCAAACTCCAAGTGGCGTTTTATCGCTCCATTATAAACTTTCTTTAGGGTTTTTACATTTCTAAGGAGCCCTAGTCGTCTCCTGGCCTTCCCTTCTACATTTTCTATATGTTTGCTCTATGTGAGCCTTTTATCGAATGTCACTCCAGGATAAATGGGAAAGCTTTCTTCCTTTAGCGAAGATATTCCTATGTGAATACTAGTCAATTTGTCCCTAGGGTAAAGAAAAGCGTTGTGGATGTTTTGCCTATGTTGATCGCAACATGCCATTTTTTTTTGCCCATGTCATTAAGAGGTTTGTTACTCGCTGCATTCTTACAGGGTTCGTAGTGGACCGGGAAATCGGGAAATTACCGGGATTTTTTTCGTTGACCTTGAACCGTGATTTTTAGCTTATAAAAGACATTCCCACCTTGAAAAGCCTTGAATTTTGACCACGGCAATGAAATCGTCAGAAATCCTGTGTTCAGCACAGGCAATTTTGGGGGAGCCATTTGGCTTTTTTGGCCATTTGGCTAGTTTTTGGCTACTTTCGTTGTATGGTCGTTTCAGGTGTGAGGGCAGCTGATTATTGGCTATTTTCAGCTGAAATGGCTTGTTAAAGGCCAGGGGAGGGCGGGCTTTGTTGCAGATCATGAATACATGCAGACAGCAGCGGTGTGGCATGGGGCGGGCGCGGTGTGGCATGGGGCGGGCGCGCGTGTGTGTGCGTGCCTTTGTTTCTAGCAAGTCCGGCAGAATGAACAGTATAAATCGTTTATGGCCGTGGTTTCTAGAAAGGATTACACTGGGAGATGGTGGGGCTCGGTTCAGTTGTATTTATAAATAGAGTCGCCGTGGTGGGTGCTAAGCACGGCCTTCTCTATTAATTAGAGATGGCATTGGGGCTAAGCAAAGTGACTGCAGCTGGATTTTCCAGTTCTATTTTTGGCCTGGATTTATCTTTACAGTGTGTTTGGCGATCAGTATTGTAATTCCCCGAGATTCCCTCTTCTGTTGTCTCACCCCTCTCTCTCTCTTCCCTCCCTCTTTCACTCTTCTACCTATTGCTCCTTCCTTCCCGTCTCCTGCATTGTCTCTAACCCTCCCTTCTGATCTTCATCTTCTTCTCTTTCTCTCTATCTTTCCTTTTACTCTCTCATTTCCTGTCCCCCCCTCCCCCTTTTTCCTATTTTATTTCTTGTTTAAATGTTTAGTAAATGTGCGGCTCCATAACTCTTCCTAGCAACTCAAGTACACAGGAAGTTGTATTGGGGGGGGGGGGGCATTCTGTGTGAACATGGTGGATATTTTCTTTTGATGTGTTTGTTTTCCTAGCGGCCTTAATCTCTGTCCGTCTCCCTTCCCGCCCCCTCACATTTTGTCCTACCTGTTCCTCACTCTCTGCCTGTCTGTCTTGTCACTGCTTTCCTCTTTCTCTTTGTATTTGCCACTCTCCCTCACTCCCTCCCCCCTCTCTCTCTCTTTCTTTCTCCATACCTTCAGTTGGTGTAGAAGGTTATGTGTTGCCTAGTGCAGAACATTTCATGTCCACCATTCCCCCCTCCCACACATTAAATATATGTGTACTTTTAAAAAACACATTTGCCGTCACCCCCCCCCCCCCCCCTTTTTTTCTCCTCCCACATTGATGACACCTAGGGGAGGGAGTGCACCCCTTCCTGCTACCTTCTTCCCTCTATATCTCATCTTATTTCTTACTCCCTTCTTTCTCTCCCTGTCTCATTCCCACTTTATTTTCTTAAACTCTACACCACTTTCCACCACCTCCTCTCTCCCCTCCTTTCTGTAATTGGAAAACCAGAAATAAAACGAAGTCCACTGCTGCCCTGACCTATTTATGTGTCTGACCTATTTATGTGTGTGGGTAAACTTCTCTATTTTCCACCAGTGGTGGGTTGGGATCCCCTGGACTTTTTCTTTCTTCATAAAATGACCTTGGCTCTCAGGTCACCAGCCTTAAGTGTAAGAAATTGAATTATTGTTGTCACACACAGATAGGACAAGCAAGGGGCAGTAGGGGTTAGCACTGTTGTTTATGGATCACAGCCACATTCACATTGGGAGAGGGTAGGAACCGGAAAAGTGGCCTCACTTAGAGATTTCCTAATTCTATTTTTGGCACTCATTGTTCTTACACCCCACCCCCACAACCGTGTCTTACCTTTCTTCTATCACCCCTTCTCTTTCCTTTGATCTTCTACTATTCTCCTTTCTCTCTCCATTCTTCCTCTCTTCCTTTCCTTGCCCTTTCTCCTGTCCCATCTCTTGTTTGTCTCCTCTCCATCCTGTCTTTTCATTTTCTCTAGATTTCCTTACCCGCTCCCCTCTCTCATTCTCTCCCCCCCCCCCCCCCCCATTTTTTTACTGGCTCATCTACGAATTTTTTTGCCCTATAACTATCTTTTCCTAGTGGTTGTGTCCACTACACTTGAAATTGTGTGGGGTTGGGGGGGGGGGGAGGAGTAGGTGGCTGTTTTTTTTCTTTGAGGTATCTTGTCTCCCTTCCTGGCCCCCTCTCTTAATCTGTGTTCGTCACTGCCTTCCTTACCCACCTCTCTCTCTCTCTCTCTCTCTCTTGCTTTATGTCTGTTTGCCTCCCTTCATCACTTCCTCTTTGTATACCTCCCTCCCATTCTCCTGCTCTGCCTTTTTTCTCTTTCTTTGGTTCTCTCCCTCTGTCTGCTTGCCTCTCTGCTTCTCACCCTGTCCGTTCTCTCTCCCTCTGTCTCCCTTCTTTCAACTCTTTATCATATTTTCCTCCTTCCATATCTCTGTTTCGTTCCCTTTTTCCTTCTCTTTTCATCTGCCCATCTCTGTATCTGCATTTCCTCTTTCTGTATTTGTCTCCCTCTCTGTCTTTCGCTGTCCCTTCCCCACTTTTCCTCATCATGTCTCCATCCCTCCCTCTCATTTTTTTCCTCCTTCCCCAGACTTCTTTTCTCTACCTTCATCTGTCCATCTTTACACTGTCTCTCCCAGCCTACCTCAGCATGTGTCTTCCTCTCTCTTCATGACTCTCTCTCTCCCCTAACCCTCTCAGGTACCAGGTCCAGAACAGACAGGACTTCAGTTTGCTGCCCTCTACCACCAAGCCCTAAAAAAAATTTTCAAACACTATATCAAGCTCAGGGGCCGACCAACACGAAGATGGGCACAGGATATAAGTGACTCCTTGAGTATAAAAAAGTACATGAGGCGGGAGAGCTGGTGAGAGACCGAGGTTTTTTTGTCAGGACAAAGGAAATTCTACATGATGATGATATCTGTGCTGGTATACCAACACATGTGGCACAAATGAAGTACCTTGTGTGCTCAGTACACCCTTGAACAAGGCAAACATCTTGTTTCAGTATTACACCGAGACAACCTTGAAAAAAACTAAGGAGACCATGAAAAAGACCTTGAAAAGCCTTGAAATTGATTGGTAAATTTGGCTATGAACCCTGTTCTTAGATTTGCCACTGTG